TTTTTTTTTTTTTGACAGAGTCTCGCTCTGTCACCCAGGCTGGAGTGCAGTGGCACAATCCTGGCTCACTGCAAACTCTGCCACCTGGGTTTAAGAGATTCTCCTGCCTCAGCCTCCCAAGTAGCTGGAATTACAGGCATGGAATTACCATGCCTGGCTAATTTTTATATTTTTAGTGGAGACAGGATTTGACCATATTGTCCAGGCTGGTCTCAAACTCCTGACCTGGTGATCCACCTGCTTCGGCCTCCCAAAGTGCTGGGATTACAGGTATGAGCCACCATACCTGGTTTCGACTTCATTTTTTCTATCTAGCTATAACTTTTTTTGTTTTTTTCCAAAATCAGTGCTAAAGCATAAAGATACAGATTCACTTTTTAATATTCATGTTTCAATAATAAGAATTCTCTTCCAGAATGTTCGGTATGACTTTGTTTTTTTAGGCAAATTACAAAAAGAAGGTGCTTTATCACGAGTATCTGACGAAAGCCTCAGTAAAGTTCAGGAAGCAGAGTCCCCAGTATTTAAAGAGCTACCAGGTGCCAAGGCTAATGATGACAGCACCATCCCGCTCACAGGAGCAGCAGGGGAGACGTCGGGGACCTCAGAAGGCACCTCTGCAGGCAGCCACCCTCGGGCTGCATACGGTAAGATGTGCCTGGAGAGCTTTGGTTCCGTGGCAGCACAGAGAAGTTCCCTGGGGAGGACCAGTTGGGCCTGGCTATGGGCAATCTGGTTTTAATGCACAAAAGGATCCCTCGGTTTTATAATTTGAGAAAACCCAGAAGCTAGGGAGGCCTCAGGAAACCATTCCAGTCAGCAGAGCAGGCTCACTCTTGTCCTGTGATTTCTTCCAAGAGCTGTTTATAGTCTCACCGGAGGCGCTGGGGCCATACACTGTATGTCTGTGCTGCACCCACTCAGCTACTTATGCAGATCTCCATGCCCCAGGAGTTACCAAATTGCTGAACATCGGTTAACCCAGCTTACTATGGAAGATGCAAAGAGAAAGCTAAATTTGTAACCAAGGAGGTGGTCCCACCATCAAATCACAGAAACCTTAGAAAATGTCCAGACTGGCTGGGTGGTGGCTCACGCCTGTAATCCCAACACTGGGAGGCCGAGGTGGGTGGATCACCTGAGGTCAGGAGTTCAAGACCAGCCTGACCAACATTGTAAAACTCCATCTCTACTAAAAATACAAAAAGTAGCTGGGCATGGTGGTGGGCGCCTGTAATCCCTGCTACTCGGGAGGCTGAGGCA